TGTTATAGGGGGTGGAGGGAACACAGTACCTCCTTTGGTAACTTATTCAAGGGGTTAATAAGATACATAATAATAAAAAATAATGTTGTACCATATATTCTTTAAAAGAGTAGGAATTTAAAACTCGCTGTGCCCAACCTCAGTGAGCAGAGGAGTGGGGTGTCCTCGTGGCAGAACACTTAGCTCTGCCACTTTCTAGCTCTGTGACCTTAGCTCAGGTCATGTCTATTGGCATCTCAGTCTCTGTCTGTAAACAGCGTGCTGGGTGGTTTCAGGGCCATCTTAGGCAACCGAGGCCTGGCTCAGAGCAGGGGCTCGGTGACGAGATGTGGGCAGAGAGGACAGGCAGGTCACTGTTCCCCGCCACAGGACGTCAGTCCCTTCAGTCGTGTCTGACTCTTGGCGGCCCCATGGACTGTAACCCGCCAGACTCCTCTGTCCATGGGATTCCCCAGGCAGGAATACTGGAGTGGGTTGCCGTTCCCTTCTCCAGGGGACCTTCCTGACCCAGGGATGGAACCCGGGCCTCCCACATTGCAGGCAGATGCTCTACCTGCCACAGTCCCGTGGCTAATGGAGGACCTGCTGCCTGCCAGCACTGCGGCGGAGCGGCAGCCGCACCAGCAAGTCATTACGTGATTCACATGCACAGAGTTCTCTAGGAAGTCATGCAAGAGAGGAAAGTGTGGAGACCCCAGTGGGTAAATTCCTATTTGGGAAGAAATTCGAAGCCCAACTGATGTCAGAGAGCTAAGTGTCAGTGAAGGAGCACTGGCCTGGGAGTCCAGACACGTCAGCCTCAGGCCGCCCTTCACCGCAGCAGGTTCGGAACATCCACCTCATGCCCGTGCGGTGGGCACCCAGACCCCTCCTCTCCATGTCCCCTCTGGCAGAAGCATGGAGTGCTGTCCATAGGGGGAGGGTCATGCTGTTAGTCGTCAGGAAAGCGTCTCGTCACGATGACACAAGTGGGCAAAAATTTAGGACGTCATTACAAAAGTCGAGGGCCAAACTCTAGGGAAGCCCTGGACGCTAGTGCCCAGGTGGAGGAGGGTGAGCTGGACATGCCTTGTGCTCTGGTTCCCCTTCACAAGTTACTGCCAGAGCACCGTCTGCCTGGTGGTGGGAGGTCTGCACCCGGCGACCCGCTGGCTTTGCTTGTCGTTGACCCGTCACTCACCCTCCGCTGTGCCCCACCTTGGGGTCCATCCTCCCTCTCGCGGTCCCATCGTCTCCCCTTCATTATGCCTCCATCTTCTGTGGCGGAGTTTGTGGTCCGTTTTACCTCAGCCCTCGCAGGTTTAATGGTTGCAGTTGGCCCTGAGAGAATCCGGGAAATGAGAGTGGCTCCCACCGCCTGGTACGGAGGCCAGTGAGCTTGTCTGGGGCTCCAGCCTGCAGAGTGACCGCTCACACGCACACACACACACACACACACACACACGTGTGGGCAGCAGAAGCCTGGGTGTCTGGGGCGGTCACTGGGGGTGGAAGATGCTCTTGATGAGCGGCATGTGGGTGTTCTGGCAGCAGGGGGGTGGGCCACGCCATGCTCCTGTTGATCCTGGTAGCCTGAGGGAGCTGGAGAGCTTGTCCACATCTGCACTCCTCTGCCTGGGAGAGGGGGGCGGTGTGTGCATTTACCCAGGTACTGAAGAGGGTGTGGCTGCAGCTGCAGGGGGCTACACAGAAACCCCAGGAGGGGCCTGTGAGGGCAGCTGTTGTAGGTGTCGGAGAGCGTGCGGTCCTGAGCATGGCACTTGGTGTTCAGAGACCCAGGCGGTGCTTCCAGCCCAGCCCTCACTTCCGTGACTTCACACCGGTCCCTGAGTGTCTGTTTCCTCATCTGCCAGCTGGCCATGTGCACTTCCGCAGCGAGCATGGGGATCCGGTGGGAGAATTGGGACTAAGCTCTTGGCAAGGCCTGGCACACAGCACTGTCCAGAGTGCTGGACTCGGTATTAACCAGTGTGCAGTTTCCATCCCGTCTCCAGGCTTCTGGTGGTTGCAGGCACCTGCTCGAGCCTGTCAGGAGCTACCTAGGAACTGAGGCCCCTCAGGGTGGCAGCGTGGTCTTCATGCTTTTTCCCAGCATCGTCCGTCAGCTTTTGTTTGTTCATTTAACGCATGAGGAATACCTGCTTTGTGCATGTCTGGGAGTGGAGGGGCGTCCGCTGCATGGTAGGGACGAGGGTCACAGGGGCTGGGTTCCAGCCCTGAGAATGTACCAGAGGAGCGGCCAGAAGCACTAGCACTTGATGAGTCGTGTTCCCTCCCCAGGGCTATTTCCTCTTCTGCAAAATGGGTTGTGGTATACTTACCCTGCTTCCCGCCCAGGGCTGATGGGGGGGGGGGGTCAAGTAAGAGTGACCTACCACCCTGACACCCCTCTCCCAGGGGTCAGGACCTGCAGTCTCAGTCCCCTCTGCTCAGACAGGCCTGAATCCCGTGGCAGAAATCAGGCAAGGGGGAGTTGACTCTCAACGTCTGCCTACCCCAAATCAGCCCAGGAGGAGCCCCAGAAAGTCGGTTTGGGTTTCAGAGACTTGTGATCCAGTCACAGCTCTGGGAGCCGAGGCAGGTCAACCGTGAGCCTGTGGCCTGTTTCCTCATCTGCACAGTGGAGGTTATCATGCCCACCTGTGTGATTTAGCGCCTCCACCCCAGACCTTGAGGTACCCACGGACCCTGTAGGCAGAAAGGCCCCCAGACTGTCATGATCTCTAGCGTTCCCAGTGCCTTCCCAGCTCCGGTTTCCTTCTGTACAACTCTCCATCCTCTCACTCCCCACGTACTGGCTTTCTCTGCGCGTCCAGTCAGGTGGTGGGCCAGGCAGTCTGCAGTTGGCAAGTTCACCTGCCACAGCCCAGGCTGCCTGGAGAGGCTGGGGTCTCCCCTCCATCTCTGTGTCTCTCCTTTCTTCCTCCCTCTGTGATTCCTCTTCTTATTCCCCCAAACCCATCAGCAGTAGCTGGGGACAAAACTGCTTGTCTCAGTCAGGGTGCAGGGTGGTGTAAAGCCCCAAGGGTACCCAGGAGATGGGAGTCCCGTTCCAGCCAGGGGGTGGGGGAGGGGAGGAAGGGGGCAGAATCTCCACCAAAGCGGTGGGTGCCCACCCTCTCCTAAGTCCCCCTCCTGGGACACCTGGGCAGAATGCTTCCTGCAGCGCAGCCCTCAGCCTTGCTGTAACTGGAAGAATGCTCCCCTCTCCCCTCCTGTGGTTCCGCTCTGCTTGCTCCTGAACAGATGATTGCAGAGATGCAGCATATGGCCCCCAAAGTCACCCGGCATTCTGGGAAAGTGACACTGTGCCACCCCAGGCTGCAGGGGAGGGGCCCATCAGCTCCTGAGCACAGCGTCCCCCTTTGTTCTTCAGAAGGGCACAAGGTCGCTTCCTCCAAGCCTCCTGAAAAGGAGATGTGCTCGCTGACTTCAGGAAGAATTCCTTCTATCTGGGTGCTGATTTAGGCAGGCATACGTGAGGTGGGATTATATATATGGGCAGGGGCACATATGAGAGCTACGAGGGAGTCCCCCCTGGGCTCTCCTGCCTCAGCCCCCGCTCAGGTTTGTGCAGCCTGGGGGGATGCCCACCCAGCCTGACCTTCCACCCCCTTCCCCAGCTGCAGTCTGCAGGGGCATCTGCCCCCTTGGGGGCCCTGCAGGTGTGTTGGGAGCCACAGGCAGCTCCCAGGAGGTGCCAGGCAGGGCTGCAGGCCCAGCCCCACTGTGGTCTTGGTGAGCCTCTGCCCTGGGTGGGGTGCCCTTGGCACCCTCTAAGCCGAGCTCCCTCCCTGGCTGCACCTTTGACACTGTTCCCTGTGCCTCTGAGCTGGCCCAACACGGGGTGCTCCACGGATGGGTTTTCCTGCCCAAACTGGGAAAACCAGGTAAGGGACATGGTGTCAGCCCGGGGCGAGGAAGCCTGGATGTTCTTCCTGTCCCTTGGTCCCAGGGCTGACCAAGCAGCCGCCTTCCCTCCCCCAGCCTGGTCTCTGACTGCTCCTACAGACATGGGGTCCGGGCATCCAAGCCCCGACCCAGTGCCTCCTGGTGAGCTCATAGGGAAAGCTGCCTGGAAAGCCCAGCCTGGTGGGGGTGGGGAGGGCACCTAAGAAGGGCCCAGAACAAGAGGGAGCTGGCAGCTGGAGCTGGAGAGCTGAAGCCAGAGGGAGGAAAGGAGCTGGGGGGAGTGGGAGCCCCCCATTCTCTCTGCCCGCCCAGTGGCTCCCTGAGTCTCGAGCTCCAGAGTTTGGTAGGGGAGGACACTGCCACGCGAGCACTGCTTAACAGACAAGCGCTTGGGGGAGAGGAGAAGGCTTTGCAGTCTTCCTTTCACCCGTGGCTGCCCCTGCTTTTTTCTGACCATTCCTGGGACTCCCAAGGAGGCCCTAAGATGGTGAGGAGGGATCTTGTCTCCCGGACAGCAGGGAAGGGACTGACTGTGGCTGAGTAGTTAGCGCCCGAGGCGGCTGTACTGAGTCCGCTCCCCGGCCCCCAGCTGCTCAGCAGGGGCCAGCGCACCCCTCCTGCCCCTGCACCCCGACCCTGTGCCTTCCCTCCACTCGGAGACTGCGGCTTGTTCATAGGAGAGCTTGAAACGGAAGAAAACTGGGCTTGACGCAGCCCCTGGCGAGATGATTCTCCGGTTTCTGGGCAGCAACTGGGCTGGAACGCTGGCGGCTCCGGTGCCCGGCCTTGCCTGCCAGCTGTTGGGAGTGGCGCTGGGCGAGGAACGGCCGGGCTGTGTGGAATTGGGACAGGCTCAGACCCTGGGGGGCCTTCCAGGCTGGTTGGAGTTTAAGGAGAAGGTACAATGTGAGGGTTGCAGCGAGTGCTCCAGACAGGCTCCAGACTGCTCTGCCTTGGGCCTCAGTGATCAAGGCTATGAAATGGGACTGAAGCTGCCCTCACCTCACAGGGCTATTGAGGAAGGCGGTGAACAGGCGACGTGCAAGGTCCGGGGAATGCCTGTCACAGCTTCCTCCTCTTCCCCACAGGGCCACCCGTTCATCGTGCAGTTCAACGATGGAAATGCCACCGTGGTGTCCATGTGGGTGTGCAGGGCGCTGGAGGAGAGGCGGAGCCAGCAGGGCCCCCCCTGAGGCTGGGTGGACGCTGAGAGCTCAGGACTGGTCACCGAGGGGAAGACCCACCTGTTGCGCCTTCTCCGTTTGCTGTCCGCACCAAAAGAGCTTTGCTGGACTCACCTTCGACACTGCTGGCAGATGGCCTTGCCTAGGAAGCCCTCAAAGGTGGCCCGCCCTGCAGAGCCAGCCCTTGCCCGCCTCGGGTCCGGAAGCCTGACTGGCAGCGTGGGTGGAGGGCTTGGGGCATCAGAAAACGGTGACCCCTACACCCTGGCCCCCTTCCTTCCTCCTAACCGTCTTTGTAAAGGGCCGGGCCCGTCAGCATCCCTGATGGGAATAAAAGTATTACTTCTTTGTAACTGCCTCCCCCTGTGAGGGCTGTGCTCTGAAGTGTCTGTTGCCCCCCCAGGGCTGGGAGCGGGGCAGGGACGGCTGGGGGCTGGGAGGGCAGTGCCAGCCCCTCCCTCAGCGTGCTTCCTCCAGTTCTGAGGAGGCTCGCAGACCAACCCATCTGACAGGTAAAAAGTGAGGTGCGGTGGTCCCTGAACCAAGTCATCTGGCTCAGAGGGGCCAAGCCAGCACCCGTCCTGCGCCATTGCTGGACTGCACTCGAGGGCCAGGCAGTCCCAGCTCCAACTCCGGCTCCACCACGGTGATCTGAGCTGGAGCCGTGGGAGAAGGAGGCCCAGAGCTGGGAACGGACTGGGGTGGTTCTCAGAGGCCCCCGCTTCCCTCCCACCCCACCCCCCGCCACCAGCTCCTCTCGTAGCAAGGTGGCCTTCACCGCCCTTTAGCCCACCCTCAGCACACCTCACTCACCTCGGGCCGTTCAGAGCCATCCTGTCAAGCAATCCTCTCAGCCACCCGCCAGGTAAGTGTGTCTTTACAGGAGGCCTCTCCTCCCATTTTACAGGTGAGGATCCAAGGCTCAGAGAGGGGCTCCGCTCGGAGGTCTCAGAGTTATGAGAGCCCCCTCCGCCACTCTCCATCCTCCCAGCGCCCTCTGGCGTACCAGGCCATGACCTTGCTGCCTTTCTCTGTCTCACCCCACAGCTCGCCCACCTGGAAGTCCTGTTGTCTTTGCTTTCAAAGTGTATTGGTTCCACCGCTTCCCATCCCCATCCAAGGCACCACGCCTGGATCAGCACACAGCCCCCTCCCAGGCGCCCTGCTCCCACCTCCCCGGCAGTCTGTTCTCCACACGGGCGCTAGAGGGAGCTAGTTAGAACACTGGCATCATGGCTCTCCCCACCCAGACCCTCCAGAAGCTCCTGTTTGCTCAGAAGACCCAACAGTGGCCTGTGTGACCCTATACAGTCTGCTGCACCCCCCAACCCCGTTATCTCTGACCTCAGCTCCCATCACCCCCCACTCACTCCACTCCAGCCACCTGGCCTCCTTACTAGCCCTTGAACATCCAGGCCCACTCCCCACTGAGGGCCACCAGAGAGACACCAAGCTGACCCCCAAAAGTTCATGCTCCCTGTGTAGCGCAGGGCTGTGGGCAAGCCACTGCCCAGCCCCGGACCCCGTCTCCCAGTCCCCCTTTCGTTAATCAGGGGCCCAGGGGCTAGTGCTCAGCAGTTGAAGCTGATGGCAGGTTGCTTCCTGGCCAAGGAGCTTAAGATGCAGGTGTGCCTTCTGGGCTCCACGGTTTTCCATCCCCTTCTAAATGGACAAGTGACTGCGTTGGGAGGCGGGGAAGGGCTGAGATACAAGTGGAAGGAGCCTGAATCCTTGAATCACTACATGGAGGAATGTGTCACCCCCAGGAACCCTTGCATTGATGACTGTTCAATGAGCTTGAACTAAACTGTTTTGCATTTATGTTCCTGGCAGCTAGTATTACACCACCTCATACAGGCCTTTGTACCAAGTGCAGGATGTCTTCCCCTCAAGTATATCCACGTGGCTCCCTTCTGTCCCATTCAGGTCTTTGCTCACATGGCATCTCAGTGAGGCCTGGCCTGACCGCTCTAATTAAAATTTAAGCCTGCCCACAGCTGCTCCCTGGGACTCATGTTCTCCTTGCCTGCACCACCGCCCTCCATCGCATTTGTTGCAAACCACTAATTGTTCTCACTTGTTTTATCTTCCACCTCCTCCCCCCACCACCCCATCCCCAGTAGAATGTACGCTGCACAAGGGCAAAGATACTGTTTTCTTCACATGGTATCCACTCTACCCCACCCACTGCCAAGAACCTGGTCTTGCAAGTGCCCAGTAAATGTGGGCTGAGTGGACGGTGGTGGGGCTGTGGTTCCAGCACTGCTCAGTTCTTTGTCCATGAAGGCTCAGCCTATGTGTGACATCCTTTTGTTTCCTGGGGCAGAGCCGTCGTGTTCTTGGTAACACTTTTCAAGGTGGTGCAGGCCTCCAGCTGCCCCTGGGCCTCGGGCAGAGCATTCATCCACTTACTGAGCACCTGCCGCATCCCTGAGGCTGGGAGGTCACAGGATGAGATGAGGCCCGGGCCATCGAGGCTGCTGCTCCCCGGGTCAGTGCTTAGGGCGGGGAGAGCTGCACAGAGCACATGTTGTGGAAAGATGCTCCCCAGAGGGACCTGCCCAGCCCAGGACATGAACCAGCTGCCACCCAGACACAAAGGTCATCCTTACTTTGAGAAGATGCACCCAGGCAGCCTGTTATCCTCAGACCCCATGCCCAGGGAGAGAGGGAGGATGAGCGGGAATCCATGTCAGCACTACTGAGGGCTTCCTTATCAGCTGTACCATTCACACGAGGTAGGAGCTATTGTGAATGCCCCCATTTTACAGATGGAGAAACCAAAGCAGAGAGGTCCAGAGACTTGCCCAAGGACACCCAGCAAGTGAGTAGCAAGGTACCGTTTGGATTCAGAGCCATACTCAACCACACACTTAACCGTGGCTCCAGAAGTCAGTTCTACAAGCACTGCCTGTGTAACATGTGAGCAGGTGCACACATAGCCTGTCCTCTACAACAGTTTGCACACGAACTCTGGTGTGCAAGGATACTATATCGGTACCTTTGGAATGGGGCCCAGGGATCTGCTCGGTGATCACCCCCCTCCACCCCAACACAACGCCCTCAGCAGCACTGAGAAACACGTCCTCTAGAAGGCTCATCAGAGACTTCCCAGGTGGCGATAGTGGTAAAGAATCTGCCTGCAATGCAGATGTAAGAGATGCAGGTTCAATCCCTTGGTTGGGAAGATCCCCTGGAAGAGGGCATGGCAACCTACTCCAGTATTCTTGCCTGGAGAATCCCCATGGACAGAGGAGCCTGGCAAAGGTGGTGTTTTCTGGAACAGGTTGGTCCTCGTGGAGACCCCAGGTCACACTGGGAAGTGGGCCCCGCCCAGGGCTTGGAGCCAAGTCCCCTCAGCAGTCATGGACAGGGGAGCCTGATGGGACTGCAAAGAGTCGGACACAACTGAGTGACTAACACTTTCACTTTCACTTTTTCAGAGGGCTCTTGGAGGCCCTGGGCCAGGAAACCAGCTTTCAGGATGGCCTTGGACAAAGCACGTCTCATTCTGAGCCTCAGTTTCCTCTTCAGTAAATGTAGGAGTTGATCCCACAAAGTCCTGGAGTTCCTCCCAGCCCTAATGTTCCAGAACAAGGCTTCTCACTTTTGGGGGTCACGAATTGCCATGTGCATACCGTCGAAGTGACAGACCCTTGCCCCCAGAATAATGTGCCTCTACATGCACACACCCACAAAGTTTGTTCACACCTTAGAGTTCATGGCGTCATGGAACCCACTCACTCAAGGGCTCCAGGTCTAGACCCTCAGCTCTGGGACAGCCCCCCAGGTCTAAGTTTCTCTCAGTTCAGTGTTGGGAAGATGGGGGCTGGGCAACCCCGAGGGGTTCTCCTCCAAAGACCCCTCTGGCTGGCGGGCAGGGCCACCTTCAACCCATTTAGGTTTAGTCATCCCCCCAGTCACCCTTAGCAGCCTCAAGGCCAAGCTGCCCTTGCCCTGAGGGTCATGGAGGACTGAGGCCGGGGACACAGAGGAAGAGAAGTGAGCTCCTGACTCTGCCCAGCTGCCACCTCACCCACCCTCACCCTGCCCCTGCAGCCAACCCCACCCCTCTGTCCAAGCCCCTCTTAAAAGCCCCCTTCCTCTTGGACGCTTCCTTGCCTTTCTCAGGTACAGACTGTGAGCCTGCCAAGGGTCCGATTCATCAGCCTGACACGTGGCACGTGGCGGGTGCTCTGAGGTGGGGGAGGCTGGGGTAGGAAGGGTCAGGCCCGCACACCCCTCCCTGGGCTCAGTGACACCCGTTTGCCTTCTAACCAGAGCCTCCTGGAGACCAGAGCCCCATGGGACGCCGCCTTGAGTCTCTCAGACTTTCAGGGAAGCCTGGAAGGTGGTGTTTTCTGGGACAGGTTGGTCCTTGTGGAGACCCCAGGTCACACTGGGAGGTGGCTCCTGCCCAGGGCTTGGAGCCAAGTCCCCTCAGCACTCAGCCCCCTGGATCTTTCTTGTCCTGCCCTTCGGGCTTTCCCATCGGGAAATACGGGGTTACAGGACCCCAGGGCTTTGGAAATCTTCCAAGAAGGAAATGGAAACAGGGAGGAAGGGTGGGACCCTTGTTCCCCAGGTGTGGTCAGACAAAGGTCCTGCAGCCCCAAAGCAGTGTGATCCAGAGCCCAGCCTAGTTGGGGGAAGTCAGGCCAGTGCAAGGTGGGCTGGATGCTGTAGCCTGGCTGAGAAGGCCATGGGTGCCCTGCCTGCAGGCCAAGAACCAGGGGCCTTGTGCTTGAGCTGAACAGACCTGAAGCTTTGGGGGCAGGAATATGCTTCCTGATCTCTGCACACTCGGGACTGAAGGCCAGAATATAATCTCAAAGCGAGGCCCTGGAATAGTGCCAGGCAGGCAAGCCAGCAGCTCTCCAGACCCCTCTACCGCACAGGTGGGTTAGAAGGGGATGGACGGCTGCCTCCACGTGGGCTGGGGAACCCAGAGAGGGCCGAGATACTGCGTCAAAGATGTCTTCCATCCCCACTGACCGCTGCCCACGTTC